ACCTGAAAAACCCGAGGATGCTTCCTCGAGGCAAACACTTCGACACTCCAATCAACAATACTCTAGTTAGCAATAGTCTATAATCTAGAAAGAGATGCTCTCAAAAAGAGTAATTGCAAAGAGAGAAACACAGTGAAGTTATTACCTTGTATGGAAGTGGTTGGGGGTATTTATAAACCTCATTCATAATTGCCACGTGTTGCTGCTCTATTGGTACACTTGTCTCGCATGACGTGGGTGTCTCATTATTGTTTCACCTAGACATTTGGGCTTTGAAAGAGAGAAACATAGTGAAGTTATTACCTTGTATGGAAGTGGTTGGGGGTATTTATAAACCTCATTCATAACAATGTTGCCACGTGTTGCTGCTCTATTGGTACACTTGCCTCGCATGACGTGGGTGTCTCATTATTGTTTCACCTAGACATTTGGGCTTTGCTAGCATTCTTTGGGCTTGAAGCCAATGTTGGGCCTGTTCCCAACATACATGTAGCCATGCTTGGTAACCATAAGATGTATCGCAAGGTCAAGGTGTATGCTACAACAACAATTTGCATGAATTAAACAAGGTGGAAAAAGAGATTAAAAAAAAGAGAGAGGTCCAATTAGAACAATAAATTTTAATCAGAAAAAACAAGAAAAAAAAAACAAGGAATTTGAGGTTGGATTGTGAATTGGAATCCCAATCCATGAAACGTAATCTTAAAGGGGGTATCATAATGAACTCCAACGAAAAAATTTGTAATATAATTAAATTATTACTAATTATTATTATTGTATACAGAATTAATTTAATATAGAATTATATGTATTTTCCTCACTAAGAAATTTGAAAGGAGATTAAGTTAATTTAGTCAGCTTCAACTTCCTTAATAAATTTTTTTCTAAGAGATCTACTAGGTATTCATTTAATATTTTAGAAAGTACAAAAAGGTCATTTGGTATTTATTTGAGATATTTTTTTGAAGGTTTTGATAATTTTTATACAATAATATTATAGTTACAATGCCATGTAGGATTACAATATCATAAATGGACTTTTGAATGAAAAGAGTTAATTATATAACAACACATCATATTATAAACTTACAATATTATATGACATTGTACCAATAACATTTTCAAATTTTATAATATTATAAGATATAATTAAGTTTAGATTGAAATATAATTTAAGTAATTGAAGCTAGATTGAAGTAGAATTGTATTAAAAGAAAAGATTATCATTGAAAATACAGTAGTGAAGGTGCATATGGAAAAATTATTATTGAAAATGCAATTGAGTTTGGATTTTGAAAAATTCATTGGATAATTATTTTGTATATATTAAAAATTTTAAAATGCTAATTATGCATTTATTCAAGATTTATTAAAAGTTTTAACAAGTCTTATAATATAGTAAAATTAAAACTATAGAGACAGATTATCAAATAATATATATGTATGCTTAATGTTATAAGAGCAAATATCTATAAATATACATGACAGGTTAATAAAAGCAAATTCTAATGAGAAATGTTAGGCTATTCTTTAAACAATTAGAAATTTAAGACCACTAAAATCATTCTAAAATATTCAATAAGGTATTTCATTTAAGTCCAGTATAATTTAGTTAGCTTTTGTTTTTATCCCAATTTAAAATATAAAATACTCAGTTCTTAAAGTTGAATATATAATTTTGCTAACTTTTCCTTTTGACCCAATTTAATAGGGTAGATGTGTACTTAAGTCATTAATTCAATTGGTGTATGAATTATAAGAGTGAAAAAAAGACTAGAAAAGGATAAATAGCCAAATATAGGAATATCAAGAGGCAAGTTAAGTTTGGGCAAAAATATATATGAAGCAATTGTTATAATTAATATTTGAAATTATTTACACCTTTATATAATATTCAACAATATTCTATATCTACTCTTGACTCTTACACACTGAAGGTTTCTCTCTTCAATGGTTTCCTCTTCACAATGGCAAGCGTCTTATGTTGAGATTTCTTTCCTACTTAAGGGCTACTTTCTCCACCTTCTTCTCTTCTCAAGCAACATATCCTTCTAATGTCTACCTCGACCAAAAACTTAAGGTTTCTTCTGACTTCATATTACAACAAGGGAGCTTGCCAATACCTAACCTTACAAGTAACAAGGTAAGGGTTGTGGCTATGCACAACAATATACAACCTTGTCTATTGACGACAAGGCTTTTGGCTCCTTCTTGGGTGGCGTGTGATTGATTGGAAAAGAAGAAAGGATTATCTTCCTTCAAGATGCATGGGAAACAGTCCCCAAATCTAAGGAGGATCGATGTTTGGTTTGGAAATTCTTCCATGTAAGAGAATAAAACTCACAAGACTCCAAAATGCTATGTTAATGTCCAGGAGTCCTTGGAATCGCTTGAAGGAAAGTGAACTTGGTGAAAAGTTATACCTTTTTGAGTTTACTAGTAAGTTTGATGTTGACAAGATCTTGATGAAAGTGCCTTAGAACTTCAGTAATTCTTTGATTATTTTAAAGAAGTTTGACAAAACCTAATTGTCAGAGTAATATAATTTTGCATGATTAATTAATTTTAATGGTCTACTTTCCTTAATCAAAGTCAAAGTTTTAAAAGTCAAAATTATCTTTCTTTTATTTCAATTGCACTCAAAATTTCCAAGATCAAGCAATTTAGTCCATAAGTTTTTAAATAATTTCCAATCAGTTGTTAAGATTTCTAATTTTTTCAAATTAGTCCCTCAACTTTTAATTTGTTGTGATTGTGGCTGTTTCTTTTTTATTTTGTTCAAATTGCGTCTAAGTTTTTTCAAGAATTGCAATTTCATCCATTTACTTTTAAAGGTTACTTAATCAAAACAAAAAACAATAAAAATTGAATTAATTATCAAATGTTAAAGTATGCAACTGTATTTATAACGAAGATTATAAGGTGCACGTATGCCCTTTCTCACTCTTAACAATACTCCCAGCCTCAATCTTTGTGACCATATTTTAGGTGACTTGTCTCACCTTATAATTTAGACAAGTGGCAACTTTGTATTTTTACTTTTTTGCACTTAATTTTTCATCATTTTCATAATTTTGAAATTTTAAGTGGTCTTCAATAGGCATATATGGTCCATTCATTGTCATAAGCCATGCCTTAGACTCACTAGGAAGCATGAAGACTTTTATCCTATTCTTCCAATAATTGTAATTAAACCCATCAAAGTGGTGTAGTATAGCTTGAATTTGAGCCATCCCAAACAACTTCTAGGAAGTTAAACCTTCAATTTTGTGCCCCTGCTTGAATACCAATTGTTGGCTCAATACACTCCAAAAGGGAGGTGAATTAGAGTTAAAAACTTTTCTTCCTTTTACAACCACAAATTAAAAAACTAAAAGAAAGGGAAGAAGAAGCTTGCACAAAGATTTTATAGACGTTTGGTCTAATCACTTGGCACCAAAACCTCTATCCTGGCTTCACTCATCAAGAATTTCCTCCACACTCTCCACTAATGCTTAAGAGTAGCTTAAAAGGAGCTACTTAATCCTTTTACGGAAAAAAAAAAAAAAAAGGGTTTCACTAAATCTCACCCTTTTTCTATCTAACCTCACAAGCCTCATTATACAAGAAGTCACTCATACAATTAGGGTATAAAATTATAATAAAAAATACTCAATAATCAAATATGCAAGTGCAATACAAAGAAGTTAATGTTTGTAAGAGAAAGCTTAAGTCGGTTGTTGGAATTTTTCAATGAAGTGTTTACAAGCTTCTTAAATGTGTCCACAACCCCTTTTACCTACCTTAGGTAAAAAATAGCAATTTGGGATCATTGGATTGCATTAAATGCTTTATAGACTTATCAAATTCAAAAAACTAGTTAATAGTGTACAATTAAAAGTTAAATCTACAACCTATGAGTCAAATCAATAAAGTTTAGTTGTGACTCTTCAAACTAAGAATTAGTGTTTCAAGAAATTCTAGGACTTAAGCAATTTTTCCTCATCTAGGTCAAGAGTTAGATCTTGGTATAAAGAATCTTGAACATTCAAGAGTTGAATCTCCAAATAAAGAGTCAGTTTTGCCCTATAGCCCAATGTCCCCTTAAATCCTTTGGAATCAAGAGTCGAATCTTGCATCGAGACTAAGTCAGATTTAGCAGGTCCAAGAGCTGAATTTACATTTAAAGAATTAGCTCTTCCTTTTGATGGTCATTTTCTTCATTTCAGTTGTAGAGTCAAATCTTTAATGCAAGAATCAAATCTTCTTATTGCAAAAAATGAATCTAGGATCCTATATTCAACTTTTCACCCTTTTTCTACAGTTTTTTAAACTTTTTCTTTGAGGCCTTTTTGTTGACTCAATGCACTCCAAGAGGGGGGGTGAATTGGAGTTGGAGAATTTTCGCCTCTTTGCAACCACCAAACAAAAATTAAAGAGAGAGTTGAGAAGAAGAGATTGCACAATGATTTTATAGAGGTTCGGTCCAACCACTTGGAACCTAGTCCTCTACCTTGGCTTCACTCACCAAGGATTTCCTCCACACTCTCCACTAGCAAAAACAATGGTGGCTTAAAGGAGCCACTCAATCCTTTACAAGAAGAAGGGTTTCTCTCAAATCTCACCCCTTTACACTTTAACCCCAAAGATCCTCTCTTCAGATCACTCTTGAAGGAATCAACACATCCCCAAGATCACTCACTAATAGCACAATAAGAGGATTACAAGTAAAGATCTCTCAAAGATCAAAAACTCAAGTTAAAGCTTATGTGGGTAGGTAAAGATATTCAATACAATACTCTCTAAACTTCTTCAGATCTGTTACCAACCATATTTATAGCCCCATGCTCGAAAATAGCCGTTACTAGCCGTTGGGGGTCATTAAATGCTCTGCAGGACGCAAACCTCGAGCTGCAGAATTGTCAGGAGAGCCGGCTTAACTTCCTAGAGCCGACTCTGTAGAGCCGGCTTACACTTTCAGAGCCGGCTTACACTTTCAGAGCCAGCTATCCGGGATTGCAGGACATTCTGTTTTCCTCGAGAGCCGGCTGCAAGACTTTGAGCCGGCTTTGGAACTCCGACTTTAAATACATTAAATATTCTTCAAAAGACTCGACCGTTGTGCATTAAATGCACCCTCACAGCCGGCTTCAAAGCCAGAGCCGGCTTTGCGTCTTTTCTCCGTGTGCGCCAAAGAACGGTCTTCAAATTTTTGCCTGTAGAGCCGGCTGCAACTTCTAGAGCTGGCTCTCTGCACTTCCATACACCAGATCCGGCTGCACTTTACCAGAGCCGGCTCTCTGTACATTGAATCCTTTTGGTCTATTTTTAGTGCCATCCAAGTTTATTTGCAGTCTTTTAACAACTTAACTACACACTTAAATAAACCAATTAGTCACTCAAATATGTTTTGTAATCATCAAAATCATAGGTACAACACTTTTGAAGTATTTCAACTACACACTCAACCTCAAATTCATTAGATAATGAAAGGAGTTTTATTATCATCAAAATCAGTTAAAGTTCAACATTTTTTGCCAAGATACACTCCAACCCACTTAAAATTGTACTTGTCCTCAAAGGCACTAGTAAAGGGCTCATCGAATTTAATTGGTGATAACAACCTTTCTTAGTAACTGAGACAAACATCAAAGGAAAAATATTCTCTTACATAAATTGAACCAAGAGTCATAATTCATTGGAATTGTAGAAAGACAAGTTGTACACCCACATCCCTCTTGAATTTATGTTTTGTTAGTTCTAAAGTTATTCTCAATACCTTCACTTTCTTAGAACCATGGCCTACAACCATCTTGGTAGTTGATTTCTCTTTTCTTTAAAATTCCACAACATAATCCATGTCACCCAATTCTCAAATATAGAATGTAGGAAACATTAATGAAAAGCTACTTATTTCCATCCAATTTTTAAGGGAATTTGTCTTCAAATTCAGAACCATACTAGTAAGTTTTAATAGAATTTTCATCTTCCATATCAAAAGCATTAACCAACTTTGTTTCCTTTATTGGTGGATCTTTAGGAATATGTTCATATTCACCCATACCCAAGAGGCATAGTGAATGTGATGGTAATGGGGAAGATATGTTCTTGGTGCTTGCATTTGATTTTCATATTTATCCTCTACTTTTGTTGTGTTTGGGTTTCATTGTGTATGTGTTACAATCTCCACACTATAAGTAAAATGCCCTTTACTAATGGTAGTTTATACTAATAGATAGGAATCTGTCTATATAAACCATGTATACCAACAAAAAACTTAAGCAATCAGTATACATCAGTTTATCTCAATGGAAAAATATATCTATTAATATAAGCTAGATTTATATAAACGATTTACTAATTATTTGTCTATATAGAGTATATCTATTCTAATGGTAATTATCATCTATTTGTATTAGTGTATCTTTACAGATGGATTACTATGTTCCGTCTATATAATTCACTATTTCTTAAACTTAATTTTTTTTCTTTTTAATTTCAACAAGGGTATACAATTTTAGTTCCCTCGCTAGATTGCCAATTTTTCCTCCCTAGATTCCTAATTTTCCCTCCCTAAATTTCGACCTTCCCTTCCCAAGTAGACTTAAGTGTTTCCACCCTTCCCCCAACTATCTAAAATTTGCAATTAATTTTGCTAAAACTCAAAAACCCATTCAAACCTAACTACAAAATTCATTTCCTTAACACTAATCCATTAATGATAGGAGGTCAATAGGTGAGTTTGTGTTAATTTCTTCCTAATCCTCTTCATCTCTTCTATATTCATAGGGGAAACCTTAAAGTTCGTTAAGGCTTCAGTATTTCATTTTCTTCTTCTTCTTAATCATCTTTTCCTTCTTTATCTTTCAATTCTTCTTCTTTCTTGTCTAAAGCTCAAAATCTCTCCTTCTTCCCCCAAAATCTATAGAATCTAGCACAAAGGTAAGTTCAATTCTTATGATTTTCGTTTTTCAAAGTATATTACAGAGTAAATTTAAGTTCTTTAGTCATTTTCTTGGACAAGTTTAGAATTTTTTATTGGTGGTTAACTTCAAATTCCTAGCTTCCTACTATTAATTTCCAGTTCTGTTAAGGATCTTATTAAGGACACTGCTTCCCTACTGAGAGTAGCCTTTGGTTTTATGGAGAGAAGAATAAGGTTAGTCAATACCTAATACACCTATAATTTCGTTGATTTATGTTGATTTGTTCCTAATTCAAATCTAGTTTAATTTTTTTGGTAATTGTTTCTTCTTTTTCTTTCTTTCTTTCCAATTACTATTTCTTTCTTTAATCTTATTGATCTAGTGCCCTCTGTTGGTTGGTTTTTTAATAAAATTTTTGTTGTTGCTCATGCTTCTTTCCAATTGCAGTTTCTTTCTTTAATCCTGGGTTTTAAGGTTCTTGGTGAGAAGCTTGAGTTGGTCTGCTCATGCATCCTTGATTCAGTTTAGAAATTTCCTTTGTTTGTTATGTAATTTAAGTTGACTTGATTTGACAAATAAATTTTTGTTAGTGATTGAATACAAATGAAGAAATCTTGTCTAATGCAAGCTTTCTGCTTGTTCATGTTTTGAATTAGACTGACTATGTTAGCTTTATTAGAAAACTTGAGTTGGCTAGTTTATTATGGGCATCAATTGTTACTTTGGCATGATTTGTTTGGTAGACGAATATGTGCATCATCAAGACAAGAAAATTGCAGTTAGGTTAATACATTATTTTTTATCTTTCCAGGTTTAAAGGAGATTTCAAATGGTGTAGTACTAAAATAGCTTTTTAATGATAGCTTTTTGGGACAAAATAAATCAAGAATCTTCTGAATGCATGATATGGTTTGGAGGTTTGGGTGTGAGCATACATGTGCATTCTATATGTATTTAATTCCACATCTAAAATATTAGATTTCATTATATCCATTTATGTCCAAAAACCATCTATCCCTCTGTATTTGCTAAACAGTTTTGGTAAAATTCGATCAAAGTTTAGGTAATAGGATATTTCATTGCTACACCATGCTTTCCAATTTATCCATTGAAGGAAATAGGATATTTCATATACGAGATCTAGAAATCTCAGAAAAAGGCTCAAGTAAAGCTAATCATGTAGCTTCTTTTACTTACTCTGCCCCCTAAACAGTTTTTCAAAGTCATTAAGCTTTCAACATTTGAGTTCAAATGTGGTTATAAATTACGTAAGTGCATGAAGATACTACAAATAATTTGATGATAAAGCATTCAAAAATGAGTTGATAGATGCAAGGAATAAATGAAGGAAGCAACAGCTGAAACATGTTTGACAAACTATGCTAATCTAGAATCATCTTTTAATGTCTAGGTAGTGTTGATGAACTTCAAAGAAAAACTCAAGGGAAATTAAAAAAAAAAAGAAAAAGAAAAAAAAAAAAGAAGAAACCATAGGCTTTGGAGGGTGAAATCCTTCAAACAGTGTCTGATCATAAATGGAAATATGAAGGCTTGCACTTGAAAAAATTGTTCATGAGGAATCCTTGCTTGTAATGTAAAACAAGATTAATATAGCTAAAAATCTATGGCTAAAATCATTACCTGGTTTTAACAATAAAGCATAAAGACCAAAAATTGTAAGCATAGATGCACATATGATATTTATCATGATCAAATGAAACAAATATATATGTGTATGTATATAAATTTGTATAGATTGCTACTTTAAACTTTTCACCTTCGTCTACCCTGCTTTTTCTATTTCCTTTCTAAACTGCCAATATCCCCACTACTCTTGTCTTAATTCTCCTTTGAATAGCAATCTTTTTTGGTTTTGAATTTTAGTTTTTACTTCAATATAACCGACTCATATTTTCAAAGTTTGATGATTAGTGTGCCATACAGTTGTCTTTACATGCATAAATACATATTAGATACCTATAGTTGTGTTAGAACAATTTACGAAAAAGAGTACCTCAATTATGGCTAAACTGGTTTGCTTAAACATCTAAATTGAGAATTAGAGATTCCTTAATTATTGCTAAATTCATTTGATTAAGGTTTCAAAAAAAGAAAAGTACCTTTTAGAATCACTAAAGATAAGAAATGCAAGTTTGGTTGCAATTGCTAAAAATTGCGTGTTTTTATATGATCTTAATATATTTAAGGTGTCTTGAAACCAAACTAGTCTTTTGATTTCATGCATCTTAACATATTTAAGTAGCTTGTTCTTTTTCTTTTTCTTCTTTGTGGGACTCTTTGTTTTTTAAGGAATTATATTAAAATTTTTTTAATTAAATACCAACCAAAATCATGTTCTTGTGTTGGGAATCTTTAAGGAATCATGCCTCTCATTTTTAATTGTTTTATTTGTGATTTCTAAAAGTAATAACTAGAGGCTAATATATGTTCCATAAAGGGAAAAAATTATAAGGAACTAAACCTTCCACCATGTGCTCATGTTTGTTTTAGTGACTCTTTCATCAAAATGACTTGCCATTGAATGTTAAGGCTCTTGTTATTTGTTTTAGGGAAGTAAACTTTCCTAGAAAATGAAGAAAGTTATTAAAAAAACTTATCCCAATGTTTACTTCAATTTTTTTTTTTTTTTTGTTTTTCTTCATTGGTCTTAATTTATTAGTTATAGTTTTATCATTCTATCATCATGGATAAAACATGGATAAACTTGAAAGAAACCTCAAGTCCAAATTATATATAAGGGATTTTTAATTTTGTAAATTTTGCATTTGAGAAGTCTGCAAAAGTTGGCAATATGTTGTGCCCTTGTAGGAGATGTGCAAACTTAATTTGGTGTAGAAAGGTAAAGGTTGTTGTTCATTTAGTAAAAGGGGGTTTTCTTAGAAATTATAATTGGACTTCTCATGAGAAGGATTCTACAGTGGTGAATTCTAATGAAAATTAAAATGAAGAGGAAATAGCTATTAATCCCGATATCAAAGGGTTGTTATGAGATGCTTTTATAAAGGTTAACATGGAAGATAACTGTCACGCCCCAGAACCCAAATCCGAGGCGCAACAGATGCCGTGCACTCGTGAGACGGGTCCCACAAACGCACAAGGCTCGGAACTTACTGAACAAAATCAGTTTTGATACCATAAAATTTCCACTTAAAATCTAACTTACAAGAGCGTGGTGTACATGTATCTAAAATCTATGTCAAATCTCAAGTGGCTAGCCTTTTTACTCGTCACTTCCCGTGGTTTCCTCGTCCTCGGTCTCCCTTCCTGAAATGGTGGACAAGGAAAAACTATGAGATAAACTCAGTAAGTAAATATGGAGTGCCCCTTATCAAAACTTAAAGCATGCCAACAAGTACAATCATGAAAACAGATACAGTACGGGCACGAAATAGACGTCTCCTCTATAGGTCATGGCCAGTGTATTAAACTTCCCTATGGCAGGCTACACTTGAACGAACCGGTTCTATCAATAACATGTCGACATGTGCTAGCGTTTAACCCCCACTAGCAGGATTACAATCAATAACATAACCATATCGGAGACAAAACAGGCAGAAGTTCACAGAAAATCATTCTTTACCAATCACTTTCAAATCATTAGGACAATCAATCAAATTTCAAGTAGGCATGCTCAATTTAATGAAAAGCATAAAAATTTCATTTCAAATCAATCATACTTACTTTTGTATAAAACGGGTTTAATCCTGCCACCACTTCAAAAACAAGTCAAAACATGCTTTTAAAAAGCTTTACCTTACATCCAAGGCATTACCATAAGTTACTTACCTCACTCGCTTAAAACCAAAGGCTCAATTCACGGTGCTAACTGACAGAACGATCAGGAACCTAATCAAAACACCTCAGAATTAATACCGGACTATCACAAATTCAAGTTGAAATCATCATGACAAATCCCTAATCACGATATTATTCCTATCAATCTCCACATAACCGAACCTCTCCAATTTATTCTTATATCACAAACTAATCATTTAAATCCCCGTTAATTGTTAACCCTCGGTGTGTGAATAGTGCCTATGAACAGTAAATGTAACTTATGAGCAAAATGGTCACAAACCCTCTCAAACCCGAGTCTAATCAATAGATCAATCCCTAATTTCACTCAAAAGCTCCTAAATTACATTTATCCATCAACCGAGAAAACCCAATTTGGATTTCTACTTCCAGAGACAGAAAAAATGGAAGAACAGGACTTGTATTCAATCAATTGTCTTTCGCAAAACAATACCTAAGACACAGGATTTCCTCCAGAAAATTCACAGCAGCCAAATCAAGCAATTTATACTTAACCCAAGCTTAAAAACACATTTTATGCTACCCACAACCATCCCATAATTCCGGCGGGATCTCGGACAACACAGAGCAACTAATTGGACAACAATTAATTGATAAATTCAAACTTAAAAGGGCTGCCCATACCAGAATTTTCCAGCTAAAACCGGAGCTGCAGGGAGAAGAAGAAGCCGGTGGCAAGCTGCAGGGGAACTTACGGACTAGCCAAAAATTGGAGAACCAAAGTTAACCCAAGCTAAATCAAAGTTAAAGAGAGGAATTCATGGCTGAATCTTACCAGAAAACCGAACCCAACCCCACACAGCAGAGGCCGGCGGACAGAGGGGAAGAGGACAGCGCAGATCTGGAAAATTTCTGGGTTTAGGAGAGTGTTCTAGGCCTGCAACTTGGTTTTTGAGCAAGAAAGGAGGGAAATTTCAAGAGGCCTTCACCGGGTTTTTCAAGGGGAGAAAGTCGGTGGCTTGGGGGCTTTTTCGGGAGGAAGGATCGGGAAGAAGACAGAGCAGACCCGCGTGAAAAAGAGGAAGAAAAGAAATATATCTAAGCTTAATCCTTATCCTAATTTGTTTTCTTTTTAGTCCCTGAACTTTGAAAATTTTTGCCATTAAGTTCATTAATAGTATTTCTTCACAATTAGGTCCCTAACTCTCACTTGATGCTCTAGAAATTTTGGGGTATTACAATAACATCCATAATGAGGTTGTAAAAGGTTTCAATTCTAGAGGCGATTTTGACCAAGAACCTCTCATATCTGGAAATTATATGGATGGCTTTTTGAATTTGTTGAAGAATGCTAGGCAGAAATTATACCCCAATTGTGAAACGAGTAAGTTAGCTACTGTTGTGCATTTATTTCATGTAAAATGCTTAAATGGGTGGAGTAATAAGTCTTTCACTCAATTGTTAGAGTACTTAAGTTTATTGCTACCTAAAGGGAATGTGTTGCCTAAGTCTTAGAGTGAAACGAAGAAAATCATTAGAACTTTAGGCTTAAGTTATAAGGAGATACATGCTTGCCCTAATGATTGCATGTTATTTTGGAAAGATAAAACTAATGATGATTTTTGTTCTGAGTGTGGTGCTTCAAGGTGGATTGTTAACACAAAGAATGAAGAAAAATATTCCACAAATTGCACAATGAAAAAGAAAAAGCCAAAAGCTGCTAAGATCTTACGATGGTTCCCTTTAATCCTAAGATTACAGCAACTATACATGTCTTCAAAAACTGTTGCTCTTATAAGATGGCATAATGAAGAACGGACTAAGGATGGACTTATTTGGCATCTTGTAGATTCTATTGCTTGGAAATATTTTGATGAGAAATATCTAGAGTTTGCTGCTGATCCTCAAAATCTGAGATTGGGTCTTGCTTTAGATAGATTTAACTCATTCAAGTCAATAAATGTGACATAGCACTTGACCTGTTATAATAATTCCATAGAACTTGCCTCCTTGGTTATGCATGAAGCAACCTAATTTGATAATGTCACTGTTGATTCCTACTCCAAAAATTCCTAGAAACAAAATTGATATCTACACGCAGCCACTCATTGAAAAGTTACAACAATTATGGGACATTGGGATTGAAACTTTTGATGCTTCTAAAGGGGAGAGATTCCAATTGAGAGCTACATTATTGTGGACCATCAATGACTTTCTAAATCTTGCAATTCTGTCTAGGTGGAGTATTAAGGGGGAAAGGGCTTGTCTATGTTGTGGTTATAATACAGAATCTATGTGGTTATATCACATTAGGAAATATTGTTATATGGGGCATCAGTGATGGCTAGATAGAAGGCATAGGTATTGACAGGAGAAAAAATCTTTTGATGGAAATAAGGAGCTTTGAATGCCACCTAATCAAACATTTGGATTGAAAATTTTGAGTCATGGAGATGATGTGAATATATTGGAAGGGGAATTAAGTCAGCCTTTGAAAAAGATTAGCATTTTCTTCAGTCTTCCTTACTGGCAGTATAATCTACTTCCCCATAACATTGATATGATGCACACTAAGAAAAATGTCTTCAATAACACATATGGAACAATAATTGACCAAGATGGAAAAATAAAAGGCAATTACAAAGCACGTTGTGACCTCCAAGACATGGGGTTGAGGCCTAATTTGTGTTCAAAACCAAGATCGTCAAATAACTCTAAGTTGTTGCCAAAAGCTTGATATCAAATGACTATAAAGGAGAAAGATTCTTTTTTTAAGGTCTTAAAGGACATGAAATTGCCTGATGAGTACTCATCTAATATCTCCCATTGTGTTCAAGTTAAACAATGGAAGATAATAGGACTTAAAACTTATGATTGCCATATTCTTATGCAAGAACTTCTACCATTGGCAATTTGGGGATCTTTGCCTAAAAGAGTTGCTTCAATTATTATAAAGTTGTGTCACCTCTTTAAATGCTTGTGTGCAAAAGTTCTCAAAGAAATTGATCGTGATGAGTTAAAGTCTCAATCTACAATAATTTTGTGTGAAATGGAAAAGATCTTCCCACCTTCATTCTTCATTGTGATGGTACATCTTAGCATGCATTTAGCAGAAGAAGCAAAGCTTGGTGGACCAATTGCATTTAAGTGGATGTACCTTATTAAATGGTTAGTTTAATTCCTAATATTTTTTTATTTTCCTAGTAATTTATTCATTAATTTGCAACAAATCTAGAAAATGTTGACTAATTCATGATTTTCTTAACTATTTCTAGGTTCCTCCTTACACTTAAGAATTATGTTTGTAATAGAGCTCATCTAGAGGGATCAATTGCAAAAGTTTATTTGTCAAATGAGTGTTTAATCTTCTACTCAAGATATTTACAAGGGGTTGAGACAAGATTTAATAAACCTTTATGTAATGATGGTGAAGATGATGGGGAGCATTCTAATGAGGTAGAAGAAAATCTACTAACTCTTTTAGGTTAGCCATTGGAAAGGACGCAGATACACATGGCTGTTAACCTAAAGAAATGAAAAAGGGTACAAAGGATAAAGCTTGACTCTCAACCCTTGCTCTAAGCACATTGATAATGGTTTTAGGATACATACATCTTGCTTCTTTTTTTTTCACTTTTATATGACTAATTTGCCTATTTAATGTTTTTAGGTAACATAAGGATTTTTTAAGGAAACAACATCACTCACCTTGCCGATCACTATATGAGATCAAAAGGCATCACTCTTTGACATTTCATGAATGGTTTTGTGATCAAGTTGGTTTAAAGATAGAAACTAAATGGCATATGATTTTGGCTTCACAAACTAATGTGTTGTTAAATTAATATTTTGTGTTAATAGGTTACACACACGGAACAACAAGGTTATGCTATTTCTGAAAAAAATAAAGTGGCTTTCAGAAGGACCAAGTGATGTTGCTCAAACCTATTCTGGATATTTGGTAAATAGATTAAGATTTCACACCAAAGATCATGAAAAAAACTTTAAAAAAAAAATAATGGGGTGGCAGTTATGTCAAAAACCACAAGTTACTCTTGTAGAAAGGATAATCAACTAATGGAAGGAAAGATAAATTTCTATGGTGTGTTACAACAGATAATTCAGTTGAACTATTATGGTTTCTACAGAGTTGTGAATTTTAAGTGTGATTGAGCGAACACCCAAAGAGGATGCAAGAAAGATGAATTTGGTTTTATGTTGGTTAATTTCAATCGTTTATCTCACATCGGCAGTAATCCTGGTGATGACCCCTACATATTTGCTTCGTAGGCTAGTAAAGCATTTTACATTGAGGATGCAAGACAAAAAGATTGGCAAGTAGTCAAGCATGTGAAGGTCAAGGTGCCTTAGATTTGGGAGAAGTGATACCTATTAGAGAAGACAAGGTGGTGGAACAGATATGGCATCCACTTAGGTTAGGAGAGTTATTGAGGAAAAGGAAATTATTGTGACAGTAGAAGTTGAAAATTATGATGATGAAGAAATGGATGATTAAATTTGAATTTGTAGTACAAAGTGCAGTTATTAGTTTCTCTAGTTTTGTTCTATATGTTATTTTTGTGTAATGCATGACTATAATTTGAAGTATAATAGTCTAGTTCCTATGTTTTTATCTTATTAGTATTCATTACTCCTTCAATTATTTTAATATGGTTGAATGATTATTATAGATTTATTTATGTAATTTTGATAAGTTCATAAAGTTGGCTTGCTTTTTCAGTATATATTCTAATATTAGAATATAAATTCTCATTATTGTCATCTTTTTTTTTTTTTTTCCTTTCAAGATGCCAAAGTGCAAGCATCTCAATCTTGTAAAGGTCCAGCCAAACAACCATATAGAAGTTGGTTTGCCCTCTTCTCCATCCATAAACAATGAGGTTGAGCCGAGCCAAGCCAACAACCTACTCCATTTGGAAGCCGGGCTAGCTAGTTTTAAAACATAGAAAACATACAAGAAAGGGAAAACATTTCATGAAACAAAAAGGCAATGAAATTGAACATAATTGGAACAAATCAATTATAATATTTCTTGCTTTTTTTTTTCTTGTTATTATGTTGATTTCTTCCAATAATAACCTATATTTATGTTTTAGTATAAATTTTCGTGTGTATGCTAACTGCTAATGTACATTTTCCCTTGTTGTTACATAAGAGAAGTGTAGTTGTTAATTGAATTCAATCATAATCTCAAACTCAATCAAGAAAATTTAAGTTAATGGTAGTGATGATGTGCAAAGTTCTACTGAAGTAATCTTTTAACCTTTATTTGATTTAATGAAATGAATAATTACATTTGAAATATGGAAAATTGATTTCTTTAATTTTATCAAATTCTGTTATTATTTTTATTGTGATGGTTAACTAGTTGCTTGAGATTAGGGTTTGAATTGGCTTTGAGTTTCTGTTTGGTATAAGTTTTTTTAGATTAAAGTTTTGTTTTTCATAGGTGAAAAAGGAGTGTAGGATGAATAGGACTCAGTTTTAGTCATGGTGGATCAACTTTTTGTGTGGCTATGTCCAATGATTTGTGTTGGGTATAGGTTGAACTATTTGGTTACAGAGGTTTAGGTTGAAGATGGAGCTATGTGCTATTTGTTTTGCAGGTTGAAGAGAACTTTTCACTATTATAATATTTTGCCATTGTTATTATCAGTCTTTTTGAATCTCATTGATTGAGATTATGTCATTGAATGAGTACCTGGTTAATTGGATTTACTTCTGTGGTTTCTAATTTTAGTCTAAGTTCCTTATTAAGGAAAGCTACAAAAGAGCAAATCAAGAGTTGGATTATGACCGATGTAAATGAAAAAAAGGAAAAATTATAAAAATGAGCTAAAAAGTGCAAGATTTGATTGATTGCTAACTGTAGATGAAATGTACGAAAAAATTAATGATCCTCGAGTTAATAAGGAGCAATTGCAGGTGCTTGTTGAATAGAGACATAGTGAGAAGGGAGAGCTATGACAATTTTGTTATTCTATTGACATATTGCCTAATTTTCTGTTATCACAAATAGGTTCTACCTTTTGTTTTCTTCCAAAAAATTAGCAAATAAAATAAAGAAAACAGGAAAAAACTTGAAGAGCCCCATTAGGCACCAAGACTTTTGTAGGATTTGTCAATGAGAAGTTTATTGATTTTTCTACTCACACTACTTTATTAAAAAAAAGTAGTGTACATGCTTTAGAGATCAAGTGATAATTGAAATTAATTTAGGGCATGATATTAGATTAGTAATAAATTAAATTGTTATCCTCTCTTCCTCTTTTTTATTCACTATAATTGCTTAAAAGTATATTGGAATTTGATTATTTACTGCTTTTTTATTTTTGAAGAAAGCTTTGCTAATGGGAGAAAGCCATCAAAGGCAAAACTCTACATTCAAAGCTGAATGAAAAAGGATGAGGGACTAGTGAGTGAAAAGGCAAGCCAAGTAATGGTTAGTAAACACATAAACGTTGTGCTTTTAATGATGTCCTTTCTTCATCATATTAAAAAAAATAATAATGAATCATTTTTGGGTTAAATGTCATAGGAACAACTTAAAAACTGCATGACTGAGTCTACTTCTTCTGCAAGTGCATTAGAGGAAACTTCATCTTGGCGAGATGATATATTCTCTAAGGTGAAGGGATCTAATAAGAAAGGGAGGGTTCACTGCTTAGGGAAGGTCTCAACTTCCAAAAAATTTGTCCCTTCCACATCTACAAAAAGCAATGTTGAGCAAAGATTGAGCAAGGTAGAGAGTATATTGAATGGATTATTGCAACTAATGTAGGCAAGATTCCCTGACAAGAATATCACAGATATTCTACAAGCTACCAACCAATTAGTTGTTGCCAATAGATTGAATAGAAATCTATACTCATTGAATTTTATTTTTCGTTAGGCACATGTGACCCATCAAGAGCTATCTAATATTCACTTATACCTCTTCACTCGGGTTTCACTATTTTTAAGTTTAATCTCTCAAATCTATTTTTTTTTATTTCTTTTGGTTGAATTTTTGAAATTTTAATTATCCTTAATTTCTTTCTACTGAATTGTAGGTTCTAAATGCTAATAGTGGGCAAGGTTTTTCCCCAAATAATCGTTCTTCTTCACATTCAAGCCATCACCTTTTGTCCCAACAAAATGAAAGTAATGAAGAAAATGATAGGCAAAGGAATTGAAAGGCATGTTTGTATCTCCTTGCTTGATAGTTTTAAGGCTTATGAACTTAGCTTGATAGATGCATTTTCTTTTGGACAGCTTTACAACTTTGGATATGAGATACAAGATATTTTTTGGGAAGGTTGATATGGATGGTTCATGTAGCTCATGACATGTGTAATATCCCAAAAATTTTGAAACCTTAAACTTTATGTTAGGGACTTATGTGAGAGAATTTATCATTTGCTAGGCCTAATGACCAAAAATTTTAAACCTAAAGGGGGGAACTACACAAAAGAAAAAAAAAAAAAGAAAAGAGTATGGTATAACCTCCCGACCCTTCTCCTTCTTTTTTTTGGGAACCCTAGGCTTAGCAATCACCATATTATTCCCAAATTTCCGTCACCATTGTTCTACTCTTCGCCACCCTTCATCATCGATCTCACCACTCCAAACCTTTCTCTTCCATTTTCCAACTCCCTAAGTCGCAGACCTTTGCCCCCACCTCACAGTAGCTGTGCATCATCTTCAACAGCTCATGGGTCTGTCCTTTCTTCTAGAAATCGTTGGTCTTCTCAATTTCTTTCTGTCTCTGGAGCTTGGGTCTCCATTTCTAGGAAGACCCGCAGCCTCTCACTAGTAAATTGGTAAGATTGAGCACAAAAAATTGCTTCCTTTCCTTAATTTCAGTAGACATAGTGTAAATTTTGACTGTTTAAATTGGGAAATTGTATGTGCTCATTCTTGCTTCTAAGTTTGCTGGACTATTGAGGCTTGTTGTGGCTGTAATGTAGATTAATTGTCCCATTTCGCTCTAGGTGCAGAAAATTTTATTTCGAATGACTTGATTGTCGTGATTGGTTGATTATCTTGTGAATTCTTGTTGTCATGCTCGGCTTGCTATAGTTTTCACATTTTAAACCTACTATTCTATTATGAAAATCCCCATTGTCATGGCCGCTTTTACTGCTGCATTTTGCTTGAATCTTGGCTGTTTTTGCTGCTGTTTTATCTAGAAGAATTCTGCTGTTCTTGTCGAAAATTTCTGCTGTTTTAAACCGTAAATAGCTGCTGTTTTTACCAGAAAGTCCTTCTGATTTTACCATAAAATTTTATTGTTCACGCAGAAAAATTATGCTGTTTTTGCTACTACATTTTTCTACAATCTTGACTGCTTTTGCTTCTGCATTTTGCTACATTTCCCCAGCTGTTTTCTGCATTGTTTTTAAACCAGAAAATTCTGTATTTTCGCTAGAAAAATTCTGCATTTTTGCTGCATTTTTCCTTGCTGTTTTCTGCATTGTTTTTCCCCAGAATTTTTTTGCCATTTGCCAAGTTTTGCTGCTCCTTGCTGAAAATGTTTGGTAGGTTAGCTATCATCTTTGGAAATTTTTATATGACTATGCGTGTGAATTATATATATATATATATATACTAGTAAGGTTTTGGTGGGTAGAATGGCAAGGGGAGATAGGGAGAAATTGTTCCTTTGGGATAGAACTTGGTGCTAAAATTAAAGATCAATTTTAGTTGAATGAGGCATGTTGTGACCCTATTGTTCTTGATTATGAAATAGGTTCTAAGTCACCACCATCTCCTTGAAACCTTGAAACCTTGAATACTTGCTGTTGTAAGCCTATAAGAATGATTTTCCTGTTAAATCCTGCCTTGTTTTGTCTCCAATATGGTCATGTTTTTCTATGCCTGCTAGTGAGAGGTTTATAAATACTAGCACATGTCGACATGTATTTCTAGGAACCGATTCATCTTGTATTCCTACCAGTGGGATAATACACTGGTTACTACTGTACCCGCCAGTGGGAGGTTTATAAACGCTGGCCATGACCTATAGAGGAGACATCTATTTCATTCCCATACTTGTACCAGTTTTTTTTCTTTTTTTCTTTTTTTATTGATATGTGATTACACTTGTTAGCATGCTAAAAATTTTAATTAAGGGCTATCCATATTTTTACTTACTGAGTTATCTCATAGAGTTTTTCCTCATCCACCATTTCAGGTACTAAAACCAAAGACGTGGGAAAACTGAGGGGAGTGACAAGTTAAAAAGCTAGCCATTTGTGTTTTAGGCTTAGATTATCTTGGAGTTAGACTAGCCACATATATTTGGACTTAGCTTATTTGTAATTAGGTTTGTAGAATAAATTTTAATTTCATATTTTTGCAAAATTGTTCCATGGATTGTAGTTATGAATTTAATAAGTTTTGAGCCTTGTGCATTTGTGGGATCCTCTCACAACTGTACGGCGTCTGTTTCGCCCTTGGATTTGGGTTCTAGGGCATGACAACATGTTTATGATATGCATCTTCTTTTTTGTTATTAATTCTCTTATGGATGAATTATTGCAATTTCTATGGAAAAAATTATGGGAGGTTAGAGTTGCTTTTATTATGTGCTACAGAACTATAGATTAATTCTTTGCTCACTGGTTAGTACTTTGAGTCTTGCAATTTCTGCATAACTTGTTTGTTTGTTAAAGGTTTAAACTTTTGATTAAAATTTTTTTTATTCCTAAAGGTCGTTTCAAACTTTCAAGTGATCTTAGGGCCGTACCTAGAGATGGAGAAAAATCAATAGAAACTGTGATACAATAGAAGGGATTAGTGAGCTTGGAAATTACTAGTTTTAATATGTTAATGGGTTGATATCTGATGATCTCAGGTTAAGAAAGTATACGAGGTTGATGTTTATAGAAAGTGGTGTATCTATGTGATATTCTGGTACTAGTTGGTAATGGGGAGAAAGTAGTTTCTTAAAGTTATCATCTTAAATTTGAATAAAGTGGTTCTGCTGAGGTTTTTTTATCACCTTGATGAGAGATTTATCATCCCATTTTTGTTTCTCTTTTCATCATTTTAGATGGAAAATTAGAGTTACTTTCTTTCTCTATATAGAGTTAGTTTCTGCCTCTCTCCAATTGAAGGTTGTTATTTATCTATGTAGGTTTTTAAGTCAAGGTTAATCATTTATGGGAGATGATTTGTAAGTAATTTAGGTTTATCTTTGATAAAATGCCTTGGGAAATTTTGGTTTCTGAGTAGTATTCCATTTTACAGTGTTGGTAATTGGTACATGCAAGTTTTGCATTTTAACTTGGTGCTTTATCTAAATTGTAGGCGCAAAGATAATTTTTATAGATTACAGGAAAGTCAAGTGCTACTACAACCTGTTGCATGTTTATTAAATCTTCTTGAAATCATTTTCACGGACTGCTTATTAAATTCTGCTGCATGTTTAAGATTAATTGTGGTGGATAAAAAGAGCAGTGAAGGAATGGTATTGATTGATGAGAAATTTATTTTTTGGAGGTTTTTATGTGTCGTAAAATGGGTTAAAGTACTATTTGTTCTGAATAAAAGTATGTTTTTGCTATTAAAAAAATTGACAAATAAAAGTGCAGGAGAAAGTTATAAAATAAAAGTTAATAACCAATTGTAAAAAAAAAAAAAAAAGGATCTATATTGATAGACTAAGCTGTCTATATAGATCCTTGGCGTATAGATGTATATATAGATGTATATAGACAGAAGTTTAAGTTTTTATCGATGGAATTATCCCTCTATAAAGGCTAGGGTCTATACAGATAGTCAAATCTCTTAAGATTTCTCAAAGTCTATACCAACAAACAAGTCTTCCATTAGAATAGATCCTAGGGGTCTATATGTACAAATTAGTTGTTGGTATATATCTTATACGAACGAGGTTTCCATTGATTGAAAGCTCTTCCATTGGAATAGTTCATGAATATCTATACTGATGGAAAAAGGGTATACACAGGTGAAAAACTCCATTACTATAGGTGCATCTGCTTGTAATGCCAACAAGAATACAATTGATTTAGCAATTCCAATCACAACTAAATAATTCACTACTAATTTCTATATTAAATTCACACGATAGTCATGACATGTTAGGCTATTGAATAATACAATAATTATAATGCAACTAACAATCTAATTCAAAATTCACAAACACGTAATAAATTAAATTTTATGTATTTTTTCACAAACTATATCAATATATTTGCTTCCTCTCTGAAAAATGAAATATTTGTGTTGTGTGGTCTTCCTAACCATATGGAAAACATTTATGTGAGAGTAGTGAAATTTGATTGTCAATATTGAGTGATTGTACCAAAAAACTAGTATCTACCTACTAAAATTTTATTTTAATTTGCATATTCAAATGTAAAGAAAGATTAATATATACCAACAATAACATGATTACAAAATCATTAATTAATCATCATTACCCAAATCACCACCCTTTTTGTGATTAACAATTAATGTATTTGAACCCACACTATTTATCCCGAGCTTTCCTTTTTGATCCATCACCGACCTCTTCCATGCACTTTTACCTTGTTGCACAACCAAAATTGATGCATGTGATGTAAACTCTGCCGCCACCAATGTTTCTCCCAGGGCTCCTAATTCCGGACAGTCACTCCATCCAGATAACCCTGATATTAGTGGAGGCATCACCCCTTCCCCTCTTCCTACGATGTATAGATCCATGTCAGAATAAGTTGATCTTATGCTTTGTACAATATGGTCTGCGCTATCCACCCGCTTTTCCATATATTTTATAGATTGATCACACATTGCTCTGAACCTGAACTCATTAACGTACCTATCATCCATCTGTTTCATATCCTGTCTTTCTGTCATGGCAACTAGAAACTTATCATCGTCATAATTCCCTGTCGCAGCAATCATATCTTCCGCAGCTTTTCCTGCAATGAATCTTACCACTGTAAGTACCACACCAGGACACCTTGCCATTCTCCATGCATAAGCTAATGCCTCTCGATCGTCACGTCCCTCAATGAAAAACATTGCCACGTAGCATTTTTGTGCGTTATGTTGTGAGTCTCCATGCAAGGATGCTTGCAATCCTCGATCCACTAGTATCCCTACAGAGCAAGGTGCAGTTTCAAGCAAATTTTTGTTTACTTGTCTATGCTCAGGGTTTTGGTCATCGTTGTTGCCTTGTTTTTTATGGAATGGGAGCAGAATGATGGTAACACCCTTATCTTCTGCAAAGCTGCTAATATACTCATGCATGGTGGTGTAGGGGGAAACTGCTGTGAGTGGTTGGACAGATACTGCAATATTATCTCTCTCATAAGATTGGAAGATGGAAATGATTTGGTCTACATCGGCCTTTTCACGGTTGAGGGTACTGTAATTGTAGTTATGTTTATGGTGAGTGTCATGGAAAACTAGCATCGCAGATGCACGACCAGTGAGCTCAACTAGGTGAACAAAAAATATAGCCATTGGAGATTTGGGTGTGGCATTAGAAATTTGGAGGAGGCTGATCAAACCAGATGCGTTTCTTAAGGAATGAACGCCTACAAGCACTCTTAGTTCCGAATCTTGTTTGTTTTTCTCTAAGGTTCTAAGTTGGAATCGCCTCAAACGTCTGGTGGCCTTATGAAAAAAACCAACTATTGGGTTGACCATAGCGGTCATGATCAGTATGGAAACCATCATGGTAGCAAATGTTTGGTTGTTGATTCCCTGTAATGAAATGGAGGGTTATCCTTGTTGCATAACTCACTCCTCGAATTCACTGAAAAATTGTATTGCTAGGTAGAAATTAACATACCTTTAAGCTTCTCCCTTCGTTTAAAACAATTATTGCCAACACACCTTTTGTATTCATAAGAATTCCAAGTGCCAAAGCATCCTGCGACGATATATTAAGAAACAAAGACACAATGAAAGTGCTGACGATCTTAGCAGAGCAAGCCAATATTATGACAAGCACTACTATAAAAGGTACGAAATTATCCATTTGTTTGGGAAATAGGTGATCTCTAAGGTTGGCTCTCAACCCAGTAACAAAGAAAACTGGAGGCAACATAATCCCTGTTATATACTCCTCAATCCTGTCCATAATTTTAGTTCCGAGATCCCCACCAGGTATGATGAGTCCAAACATGAAGGCTCCAATCATGGAGTGCGAGCCACAAAAATCTGAAATGAATCCGCTGATGACCACTCCTATTAGAATGAAAAATACATGCGTGTCGCTGTACTTGCCTTCTACTGACGTTCCATTCGTAGATGCTGTCCGTTGAATGATCCAACCCAAGACAGGACGCAACAAAATCCAATAAGTTAGTATGAATAACATTGTTGGAACTACAGCAAATATGTTTTGCCGCCCATTAATTGCAGACACTGTTCCAACGAGAAGCAGCCAAGCAGTGAGATCGTTAATAATGGCAGAAGTTAATGCTGTTTTACCAAGATCAGTATGGAGGAGCTTAAGGTCAGAAAGGATTCTAGCCAAGTCAGGGAAGCTGGTGAGTGTGAGAATAATGGCCCAGAAGATAGCACCCTTGATAGGCGTGTGGGTTATACTAGCATTCAAAAATTTTTCAAGCATGAAATACAAGCCTATCCCTATTGCCGTGGGACCTAAAATTCCAGCCAGAGCAATGTTTAATGCCTTGGATTCAATTTTCCGTAGGGGCATTAGATCCATCTCAAGACCAACCACAAACATATAAAAAGTGAGACCTAAGTTGGCCAGTGTCTCCATCACCAATACCCCTTCAAAAGGAGCGAAGTTAGCCCTATATTTTGGAAATTGCCCAAGGAGAGTTGGGCCTAGCACGATCCCAGTCTGCATGGATTATTCATGAGTGGGAAAAAAAATTCAATTAATAATAATTAATTAAGACATGAATAAACTGTTATTTATCTAGTGCTGATTTAACGTGCCAATTGGTAAAATCATTTCGCGATTTCTCAAGAATCTATTCTCTCTATTCCCAATTGGTGTCTTCATTTAGTCATGAATGAAAATTAAAGAATGCAATAATTGTTATAATTAAATTAATTCTTTTTCCAATTCTATCCATAATTTATTAATGAGAGATCTATGAAATTAAGAAAACGTAATGTTAATATGGTGGATCGTTATCTATATATAGGGTTAAAATGAAAAAGAAGAAACTAATTTACTTTCAAAATGTAAAAAAAAAAAAAAAGAAGAAAAGTTAATTTAATCAAAATAAGACTGTTGTTGCGGAATAGGGTGAAGTAAGATTCAATCTTGCCTTCAAGAGTAAGACTATCTTTTGTGGAGAAAATATTGCTAGGCAATATGGTGTAATATTAATTAAAATAAAGACATTAAATTAGAATGACAAAATACAATTATGTATTCTTTGGATGTTTAATAGGTGTTTAACGTATTTGAGTTATAGTTAACAATAACCATCAACCACTGGATATTGATTCCCATTCATTAATTATTGCTTAACAATTAAATCAAAGAAAAATATATACATAATGTAATTACAAAAAATTGTTTTTCATATTGGACTACATATTAGAAGTGCAATCTTGATATTAAAATTATTAAAATACTCTTAATGAGACTCTTCCTTATATACATTTATTAATGATAATTTAATAATTTTAGTATTCAGACAACATTTTTAATACACAATCTGAATTGAAAAATATAAATCTCATGTAAATTAACAACATTGAAGTTTGACAGTCATTCATGTATACTTACGAGAATCTCAGCAACAAAGCGAGGTTGGCGAAGAGGCCCAAGGATGAACATGAAAAGGCGGAGGACAAAGAGGACGAGACTTAGTTGAATGGCAAACATGGGTAAAGACTTCATTACGGGGTTAGAAATCTGCCAGGTTATGTTGCTGTCAACTTGAGTTCTATTAAAGCATACTGTAAATTCATTCTGCGAATCATTCACGATAAGGTATATTCCAAATGTTATGTTAGGGGTTTGGTAAGACATCGGTATTGTAGTCGGTGTTGAATTCGCCATTCTAGTTTTCTCTGGCAAGGCTAAGTTTCTTGGTAAGAGAAATAAATTTTGCAAAAACGAAATGTGATGCTATTAAGGATGAAAGTAGCTAAGAACGCAACTCTTAAATGACAAAAATGATTAATTTCTGTTAATCAAGAATAGGAAGTGCTAATATAGATATATAGTTTTCTGTCCGTACAAATTTGCTGGCTATTGTCAATGGTTAATTATTTGGTTGCATTTTTTGCGTTTTTGTTTCCCTTTTTTTATGGGTTTTAAGTTCCTTGATTGACTATTTATTTGATTTTTTCATTTTTCTTTCCCCCCCTTTTTTCTTTTTTCTTTTTTTTTTTTGTGGGCTTAAGTGCTTTCATCGACTATTTGTAACGCCTTGCATTTTTATTTTCTTTGGACTATGTCCTTAATTGCATAAATTTAGAGAAAAATGTAAATGAGGATATTAATTGTATATATTTATTTTTAAAAATGTTAATTTTATTATTTTTAAATAGAAATATCAATTTTTATTTTTTTCTGTTTAAAAATATTAATTTTTTAAAAAAATTTATTTACTATGTCAATATCACAATTCAATTAATTTTTGAATAGAAAAAAATTTAAAAATTAACATTTTTAAATAAAAAAAATTAAAAATTAACATTCTTAAATAGATTAGTTAAAAGTTAAAATTTTATTTAAAAATAAATAAAATTAATATTTTTAAATAAAACAATATAAAATTAACATCTTTATTTATACATTTTCTCATTTAGTAATAGGTCCTTTTGTCAATGTGGGCTAATGGTAGGACTCCTTACTAGTGTTTTAACCTAAAGAAATATAACAGTCAACAATGGTGGCTAATCCTTATTTAGTGATTTTGAAAGTTTTGAGACTTAAGCATAGAAATTAGCAACGTTACTAAAAAAGTACATTTGTTTCTAATTTAATTAGACTAATTGGAGAGTTGGTTATTTTAGAGTTAGTACTAACCAATGGAGGATTAATTAAGTCTAATTTATGATTTTATGATTTTGTAGTTTAGTTATGACCTTATGTGTAAAGATTAGAAGTTGGAGTCCTTAACAATGCAATAGACAATAGTTTGAGCCATTGGTAGAAAACTAAGAAATTGAGAAGTTTAACTATTAGTTTTGATTTCTTAAGAGTCATAAGGACTTAGAGCCATTATTTTGGACTTTGCCAAGGCTTAGGAGCTAAAGGACTAAATTGAAATTTGCCCATTTATAATTAGGCATGTGTATTCCTTTTGCGGGATGGCTGGTCATTTAAAGGATTTGTAGGCAATTTTTTTTTTTTAACAAGGGTAATGGTTAGGAAATTAGTTTGAATTAGTTGTTAGTAACTGGAGATTCGATCCCCAGACCGAGTGAACATTCCACCCCCTCAAATGAGACGTGCAGCCATCAGGCCGCTGTTGGTGGAGTTCACGACGGTGGTAGAGCTCGAAGCTCTGACCACCTCACCCAAGCACTTAAGGCTTGGGGTCGAACCATTGGGCCTAAAGGCCCGGTTCAAGATTTGTAGGCAATTTGAGATAAGATAATACAACCATTTCTAGCCAATTGAATTAAGCCATTTTGCAAAGCATTTGACTATAGACTTTCTTCTAGCTTTTAAAAGAATAAAAAGGGAGAAAATGATTAGACAAAGTTGTCCTCCTTCTTAAACCTGTGAGGCATGGTGGAGGAGAAGAGCTTGAAGAATTTTGGCCATTTTCAAGAAGAAAAAGCTTGGTTTAGCTTGGGTTTTGCTCAAGGGTTTCTATCTTTGCATTCCATTGGATGTCAGAGGTAAGTATAACTATAGGAGAGCTTGAATTTCTTTGAAATTCTTCCTCCTTTTGAAGACTCATGTTTTTAGTTGGTTCTTAATTTCACATATGTTGTGCAACTTGATTTATCATTCTTTCTTCATGAGATGCTGGATTTAATCATGAATTCACAAGAAATTGAGAGTTGGAAGCCATGAGTAGTAATTAGGGTTTTAGACTAATTTTTGGCTTTACTCTAATTTGTGTTCTAGAAGTTAATTAACATGTGATTAAGCATGAATTTCAATTATAGAGCTAAATTAGCATGAATTTGCTCAATATGTAAATTTGGGTATTATGACCTAAATTATTAACTTGTGGAATTATTAGGTTTTAATACTTTAGTTGGTGTCTTTGCCTTAAGGTGATTAGAGCTTGAATTACCAAGAGAAAGATTTCAAAAAGGGTTAGGATATGTTCGATATTTATGGGTTTAATAAAGGGCATTTTCATTGTTTCAACTAAATGCATAATTCACTATTGCATTTAATGTATTTAAGATGATTTTAACAAATTTACTGGTTTTTTTACACTATGAGAGTAAAAAAGAATTTCTATATATTTTTTATATTATGCCTATGAATTGATTTTATATAATTCACTACATAATTAACTAATTAATTGATTATGTTTGAAAGTTTAAGTGCTTAGAACTAATGTTTAAGCTTAATATGCCTAAGTTACTAAGTTTGCATAATACAACTAAGGTTGACTATTTAAGTGGACTTAAGAAATTTAAGGACTTTCTGTAGTTTTACATGGCTTCTACATCTTAGTTATGGCTTTGATTTCTCATTTTGGAATGATAGATTTTTTCCATAATAAATTTAAAGAAACTTAAATGAATTTTAAGCACATTTGTGAAAGCTTGCAATGGGAAGTTTTGCTTATGAAATTGTATAATTCAATTCATAATTCACCAAATAATGTTAGTGAACTGTTTTAAGATTATGGACTTTAATAACGAAGATGGGATGAATTTTTAAGTCAGTTAATGCCAAGTTGGTGCATGATCTAACATGTATACTTGACATTTGAAGTGGGTATCTCCTTGTCTCCTAATTCACTAAATAAGGTTAGTGAACTATTTTAACATTATGGATTTTAATAATAAAGGTGGGATGAATTTTTAAGTTATGTAGTACCAACTTGGTGCATGACCTAACATGTATACTTGACATTGGAATTGTGTATCTCCTTGCCTAAAGTTATTTGAATCTTGTCTATTACATTTTTGGATTGGTTTATAGGAAATGCGGAAATGGTTCAAAATAGGAAAGTTATTGTACACAAGAATAATATTTCCTTAAGTGTGTCCTCAATGGCCCAGATTTTAGGGATTGCCTAATGTGAAATACCCTTTTTGGCAATAGAGTCTTTGACTTGCACCTCAAAGGTTTATCTATCAGGTTTGTCAAGGCCTAAGTTTATTCCAAGACCTTTAGTTTTATCCTCAAGGTACCTCTGCACAGTTGGTTCAACACTAGCATTAGCTTGGTGGCAATGTAGCTAGCACTCTTTAGTTTGACTTCATTTTTTAATATGATTATGGTTGTCTTGTGACTTCTGTATTTGTTAATTTATATGATTTATAATATTGTATGAATTTTTATTTATCTGATATTGTTTATCTTTTATTTAATTATTTCCCCCTATACTTATGTTTACAAGGCTTTTTAGCTTACCCCATCTTCTTTCTTTTCCTTCTAGATTGAAAGACTTAAGAAATGGCTCTCGAGACTAAGGTTAGACGCTATAGTTGGCAAGTAAAGTCAAATCATTGTATTACAACTATCCTTCGGTTGACATGTTTTAAATGGCTAGTGTCATAATAAGTTTTGTAAACTCTCATTTTAATATACATTATTTTTAAATTTTTGTATCATTAAATGATTTTAGAAAACTCCGCTATGCTTTAAAGAAAAATAAAAGGCTTGATCAAGCAGTCCACAAGCCCAAATGTATACGCATAACTATAAACCATTCTTGAGAGGTGTTACACTATTTATCTAGAAGTTTAAATTATGTTGTCTACGAAGTACAGATACAGACCTCTAAAGGAAATGATAAGAGGACAATCATTTTATAATTTTTTAATATAATTTTTATATGATATTAAAAAAATAAATACATATAATATTATAAATTTTAATAAAGTAAAAATAGTCAATTATTAAATAATATGTAAAGTTGTCTCTAAATTATTTTCCTACTAGTATTATATCTTCAGTGACAAATATATATATATATATATACACGAAAATAGTGTATATCAATCTTAACTCTTAAAAAAATTAGAGTTTTAACTTCAAAAACACCATCTTCTAATTAATATTTTTAAAAATCACCATCTTCTAATGAATATTTTTAAAAATCAATTATTAGATTTAGTATTCTATTTATGTAAATCATGCATATTAATTTTCAGATTGATTGAATATATATAACTAGTTCATTAATTATAAAAAATTTATTACCATTAAATATATATAAGAAAATATAAGTTTCTTGATCGAATACTTATAAATGTTAGATTAACTTGAAAATTGACATATGTGAAACATTAAATCTAGTAGTTGGTTTCTAAATCTATATATTAATATTTTAATAAAGGTGGTGCTATTAGGATAACTTTTTTGTCCCACCTATTTCTTCCACCTTTCTATACAACTTCCATATGTTAATAAATTAGTTGATGCATTCAATATCACGGATCTCACATAAATTAAAAAAACTAATGATTTTAATGACACGTAAAGTTGTACAAAAAGGTGAGACAAAATGGTTATCCCAATAGCATTTCCCATTTAATAAGGTGAATTCTTGAATTTGAATTTAATTTTGGTTTTCACATATAAGAATCAACATTTAATAAAGTAAATTTTTAAATTTTAAATTAAATTTTAATTAAACAAAATGGTATGATTTAAAGTTTACACTTTTTTTTTTTTTTTAGTTGAGAGTCACACGCATCATACACTATATATATATATATATACCTATGTTTATGGAATGGGTTTTCTAACAAATAGTAGAACGCTAACATTCTCGAAAATCTTTACCTAAGGTCCCACTGAGGTGTGAAAAACTTGCATAGTTATTTTTTTAATAAAAATAAATTTATTCATTAATAATAGAAACTTGCAAGGGTTAATTACAAGCCAATCCAATACAATGTAGCGCATCAAATGCCAACACTACAAAACCTATCCGTAAAAGTGTAAGATACTTGGTTAAGCATATGATAATAGAACAATCTGATGGATACGTGGATATCATGGTTAAACCTGATTATTGATCTAATAATGAAGCCGCAAGTCAACATAATCTACCAACAACAAAAGATGAAAAAGTAATTGTTGAGATAATCTATTGCTAAAAGCATTCTAATGAAACACAATGCATGCCAACTACCTCTCCTACTCTGAACCTTCAATGAGAAAGTGTTGACATGTTAAAATGAATGGAGTTGTCATCTATTCAAATGAAATAGAATAGATCACCAAAATCTATTTAAAGATTGAGTAAGTTGAAGGGTTAATTAGGTATGAAGAAGGCACTAGACATCCTACAGGTTTCTTGTAAATTAATGCTGCCACAAACTTCAAAATTGGGGTATTTTTGGAAGAAAAAAAATATACTCTAAATAGAAAAGAGCATTCTATCATTTTTCTATAATTAAAAGGATTTTTAAAATGATAATGAATCAAACCAATTATCCATGTGCATACCAAGTGTATCCCTTCCCTATTTTTATCAATTTATCTTGTCATTCATAAATTAACATATACTTTCCCATCAAAAGTGACTATTATATTAAGATATTACCAAAGTTAAGTGAGAAGTTCATCATCTTTTTTATTTCATTTCATGAACAACCAAATTCATCTAGAATGCAAACCCATGCCGTATAAACAAATAAGAACATGCTAACTCTTATGTCTTTTTCTATTTTTTTTAAGTCTTAGGCCCCGTTTGGTATAGCGGTTTTAGGGTAGCGGTTAGCGGTTTTACCTAAACCGCTAAATATAGGTGTTTGGTAATTTGATATATTTCGAAACCGCTACAACTAAAATATTTGATAAAATTTTTATTTAGCGGTTTGAGACTAGCGGATAGCGGTTAAGGTCCAAATCGCTAGTGGATTGAAAAAGCTAATTTATGTAGTTTTTTGTACCAAACCACTAGTGAATTAGAATTTTTTAATTTTATTGACAAATTTATCCATTTTAATTTTTTAATTTGTGGTCACATTTTTTAATTAATAATTATCTAATAAATTTCAGTTTTGTTTTTTTTTATCTTTAATAACATTAAATGATTATAATATTTTTTTGTATATTAATTTATAATTAAAAAATATATTATCTTAAAAAACAAAATTTGTTAATTAGACAAAATGATTAATTTTTATTTAAAAATAATATAATTTTTTCTTTTTTTAAAATTAAAATGAGGGTGTAATTACATTATTATAATTAATTTTATTTATTTTTGTTATTATTATTTTTTTATAAAATTAATAATTTTAATAATAAAAAATAAAAATATTTTA